TCGTTGTTAAACTATTATCCAAGAGAAGTAACCCTTTTAAGCATCAGGCGATGTTTCTACAGTTACGTAAGAAGTAGGTACTAGAAAACTGTGTTAATTCAAATGAATTCAGTTGATATCAACGACGCATTATAAAATGTTAATATCCTGTCAAACTATCAAATCCAACAATGAGTAAAGTCAAACTGTCCAAGAAAGCAGTAAAATCTTCCTTACAGTTATAGATAATAATTTTGAAAGACAGCATATAAACATATTCTGCTTGAAACTTACTCTTTATATTGGTGTGAACAGACCTGTACCGTTGACACATAAAAATGGAATATCGGTAAAACATTACCAGAAACAGATTTTAAACAATCAATGGATTATCTTTATGTTTTACCGGTGGTTGTTACATGAATGGCTTTCCATGTCGTAAGCACAGGGTGGCCCAGTCGTCCAAGGCCCTGTGCAGAGTTGCCAGAAACATATGTTTGTGGCCAATTGTGGGTTCGAATCCCAGATTTGCCCTTATTATGTTTCAGGGTTTTTCAGCACCATGCCCATGCTTGTGGGTTTCACTAAAGTGGTAAAGCTCTAAGAGCTCTTCACTTCAGGCTTTCAAGCTTACACGCGGTGATATAAATCAAATGCTGTTCAATAGATCGTTTGACGCAACCTACTCACCAACATGTAAAATATATGCATGTTTCGAAATAGTGAGTGAGTGAGTTTATCGCCGCTTTTAACAATCCAGTAAGTATATCGCGGCGTGTCGGTTTAATGTGGGAGGAAAGCCCGAAGTGATGCAGGTCTCAGACGTTTACCACTTCGGTGAAACCCAGGAGCACAGGTACGGTGCTGACAAATCTAGAAACATAATCGGGGCGAACCGGGATTCGAACCCACAATCATAGGTTTCTCGCGTGCACAAGGGAGGCAACTCCGTACAGCGAATCGCGGCGCCTTGGACCACTGGGCCGACCGTGACCCCTGTTTCGAAATAATAAGGGAAGAAAACTCCGTCATGTGTTATTTTATATACATGTCCGAGCTCACTCATCTACAACAGGGGACACGGGTTAACCGAATATCAACAGCGCCACAATTGGCCGTGCAGAGTTGCGTCCCTCATATGCGCCGGGATCCAACGATTGTGCTGAGGACACTATTAACCATTATCCTCTCAAGGGCTTCCTCAACGTATCGAGGTAATGTCATGCCAGTGCTACCCTGCCGACAGAACGTAGCGTGGCTTTCTTGGGGTACTTCTGAAGTACGCCTTAAGATCCGGAGTAAAATAGGTCTTCAGCAACTCATACTTACCGTAAAAGGCGACTATGCTTGTCGTAAGAGGCGGCTAACGGGATTGGGTGGTCAGGCTCGCTAACTTGGTTGATGCATGTCATCGTATCCCAATTGCGTGGATCGATGTTCGTGATGTCAGTGACTGGATTGTCTGGTCCGGACTCGATTATTTACAGACCGCCGTCATGTAGCTGGAATATTGCTGAGTGCGGCGTTAAACAACAAACAAACCTTTACTACTTCAAAACTGTACCCTCTGCAACTGTTCCTGCTCGGTCCAGAGCAGCTTGAATTGATCTAAATTGGTTTATTTTTGAAACCGTGATATTTATCCTCACTGCTTTTTCGTGCTATACGGTTGAAATATTATCGATGCAAACTTAAATATTTACTCACTCAAACACGCAAAACTCAATGGGACGGAGAGATACAGGTGAACATCATTATTATGATATAAAGGAAGACATCACCTCATCACTCCACAAACAAGTTGTGACCTGTGTCATTATCTACTTTTTAATCGTGCCCACATATCCACGTATGACGGTAGCGCAGTGGCCCAAACCAGGCATAAATCCCACGAAAACCTGCACTGAAATCACTGTGGGCATACCACTGGTGAAGGTATATGTGTTTTGTGTTTGTAACTTGTTGACTACCTTTCAAGGAAGTAGATTTAACACTGACAACCGAAGTCTACAACTGTCTGCCAAACTGACTACAAACTGTCTGAGTATATCAGAAACTTGCAACTCTTTGAACATGTTGACGTTCTTGTTTTAATTGTTGAAAACGTGTTGCAATTCTTGTCACGCAATTATCCGTGAGAGGTTCTTGTCTCGCAATGATTCGTGAGAGGTTCTTGTCACGCAATGATTCGTGAGATGTTCTTGTCATACAATGATTCGTGAGATGCTTTTGTCATGCAATGATTCGTGAGAGGTTCTTGTCTCGCAATGATTCGTGAGAGGTTCTTGTCACGCAATGATTCGTGAGATGTTCTTGTCATACAATGATTCGTGAGATGCTTTTGTCATGCAATGATTCGTGAGATGTACTTGTCACGCAATTATTCGTGAGAGGTTTTTGTCTCGCAATGATTCGTGAGAGGTTCTTGTCACGCAATGATTCATGAGATGTTCTTGTCATACAATGATTCGCGAGAGGTTCTTGTCACGCAATTATTCGTGAGAGGTTCTTGTCTCGCAATGATTCGTGAGAGGTTCTTGTCACGCAATGATTCATGATATGTTCTAGTCATACAATGATTCGTGAGATGTACTTGTCACGCAATGATTCGTGAGATATTCTTGTCTCGCAATGATTCGTGAGATATTCTTGTCATGCAATGATTCGTGATATGTTCTTGTCATACAATGATTCGTGAGATGTACTTGTCACGCAATGATTCATGAGAAGTTCTTGTCTCGCAATGATTCGTGAGAGGTTCTTGTCACGCAATGATTCGTGAGAAGTTCTTGTCTCGCAATGATTCGTGAGAGGTTATTGTCACGCAATGATTCGTGAGAGGTTCTTGTCTCGCAATGATTCGTGAGAGGTTCTTGTCTCGCAATGATTCGTGAGAGGTTCTTGTCACGCAATGATTCGTGAGAAGTTCTTGTCTCGCAATGATTCGTGAAGGGTTCTTGTCACGCAATAAATCATGAGATATTCGTGTCACGCAATGATTCGTGAGAGGTTCTTGTCATGCAATGATTCGGGAAAGGTGCTTGTCACGCAATGATTCGTGAGAAGTTCTTGTCATGCAATGATTTGTGTGAAGTTCTTGTCATGCAATGATACGTGGGATGTTCTTGTCATACAATGATTCGTGAGAGGTTCTTGTCACGCAATGATTCGTGCGATGTTCTTGTCTCGCAATGATTCGTGTGATGTTCTTGTCACACAATGATTCGTGAGATGTTCTTGTCTCGCAATGATTCGTGTGAAATTCTTGTCATACAATGATTCGTGAGAGGTTCTTGTCATGCAATGATTCATGAGAGGTTCTTGTCACGCAATGATTCGTGAGAGGTTCTTGTCACGCAATGATTCGTGAGATGTTCTTGTCACGCAATGATTCGTGCGATGTTCTTGGCACACAATGATGCGTGAGATGTTCTTGTCTCGCAATGATTCGTGAGATATTCTTGTCTCGCAATGATTCGTGAGAGGTTCTTGTCATACAATGATTCGTGAGAGGTTCTTGTCACGCAATGATTCATGAGATATTCTTGTCACGCAATGATTCGTGAGAGGTTCTTGTCACACAATGATTCGTGAGATGTATTTTTCTCGCAATGATTCGTGAGATATTCTTGTCATGCAATGATTCGTGAGATGTTCTTGTCATACAATGATTCGTGAGATGTACTTGTCTCGCAATGATTCGTGAGAGGTTCTTGTCACGCAATGATTCGTGAGATGTTCTTGTCTCGCAATGATTCGTGAGAGGTTCTTGTCACGCAATAAATAATGAGATATTCTTGTCACCCAATGATTCGTGAGAGGTTCTTGTCATGCAATGATTCGTGAAATGTTCTTGTCACGCAATGATTCGTGCGATGTTCTTGTCTCGCAATGATTCGTGTGAAGTTCTTGTCATACAATCATTCGTGAGAGGTTATTGTCATACAATGATTCGTGAGATGTACTTGTCACGCAATAATTCGTGAGAAGTTCTTGTCTCGCAATGATTCGTGAGAGGTTTGTGTCATACAATGATTCGTGGGATGTTCTTGTCACGCAATGATTCGTGAAATGTTCTTGTCACACAATGATTGGTGGGATGTACTTTTCACGCAATGATTCGTGAGATACTCTTGTCACGCAATGATTCGTGAGATTTTCTTGTCATGCAATGATTTGTGATATGTTCATTTCATGCAATGGTTTGTGTGCCGCTTTAACTCTGATTGGGCTGTTCCAACCTTTCGTGTGACCGAGACAGGAGTGGGAACATTCCTTATGCACTGACGTTTTATTAGTATTATTATTTGCATTATTGTACTTTTTTCACGGCTTTTGTTATGGTTTATAACGTGTACCTACATATAGTCACGAGTATGGTTGATATGCGAATCAATGATCTCCATCGTGGTGAAACGGTCACACACTATTCGCCAGTTCAAAGTTATGACTATCCGCTCGACAGATTTGGGATAGCATGCTATAGTTTAAATGGCCACAATCTTGACCTTCTAAGGTGTAATATCAAAATCACAGATCACCAAACATTTTGATCACACGGACAAAAAATAGCCAACATCATTCATAAGATATGTTTGTTTTAGATGACCTGCCTGATTATCATAAACATTTTGAAAGCTCGTCATCGCCTCGGGAGAACTTAAACCAACAAGCCGTTAATATTTTATGCTTAGAACAAATAAGGTGCTAACAATGGTCTTGAACAAAGCTTAAATTTCCCGTGAAGATCAGGGTTAGAAATGGTCTTCAGCAGCCCAGGCTTGTCGTAAGAAGCGACTAACGGGATCGGGTGATCAGACTCGCTGAATCGGTTCATGTGATCATGTCAATCACTGGATTGTATGGTCCAGAGTCGATTATTCACGGGTCGACGTCATATAGCTGGAATGATGCCGAGAGTGGCGTTAAACAACACACCATGCGCAGAGGACTAGAACCAAACATTTAGCCCGCATTGTTTAATAGTATTGCCCCTGGCAAGAACAACTGAGACAAAAGCATACATTCGTTATGAAATATTTTATAACGCATACTACTGCCCAACAAAGAAATCATGGGTCAGTCCAGCTGTGTTGATATAACCGATGGTCTAGCTTTACGTACCATTCATGATTTGCGATTTGATATGCTCTGCAGCTTGTTCTAACGCCGACATGGAGGTCGGAGCATCTGTTGGAGGCTGAGGCGTGGCTGCAGCCGGCGATTTACCAAACAACTCCAACCCCTTTGACGGAAGTAACGGAACCTCAACTGGACGTTGCTGATCCGGTTTCCCTTCAACTGCTGTGACCTTCTGGACGAGACTGTTCATTGAGGATGGGACTCCATTCGCTGCAATTCGGAACATCGTGACATAGAACAGTCGAAGTTGAATCCTTTCAGGATATACAGACAGACAGGCAGACAAAGTGTATTCAGTTTTCAAGGCCTCCGGCCCATAAGACAAGAGCATACCACATAAATTTTATGCATGCAAAGCCTGATCATTATTATCTAGGAACGTCTACATTAAACACATTTAGATTTGTTTGTTTAACGCCCCACTCAGCAATATAACAGCTCTTATGACGGCGGTCTGAAAACAATCGAGTCTTGGCCAGGCAGTCCAGTGATTGACATCATGAGCATCGATCCACTTAATTGGGATACGATGACATGCATCAACCAAATCAGCGAGCCTGACCGCCCGATCCCGTTAGCCGCTTTTTACGACAAGCATAGTCGCCTTTTACGGCAAGCATGGCTTGCTGAAGACCTATTCTACCCCGGAGTTCAGATGATAAGTATCTCCCAACACTGACTGAGTATTTGTATTGTTGTTAGTATTGACATTGACGTCAAGTTTCCGGGGATAGGTGCCAATTTTGGTAGAGACAGTCGTGTAATATTTGTTCAAAATACTAACAAAAAATTTGATATCACCGATCTCTTGACTTAACCATGCGAAACCAAATCCATATTGGAAGAGTAAGGTCCAGTATGTTGCCCACGTTGTTTTACCACAATCATCCAGTGATTTGAGCATTGTTTCAATTTATTTGTCGTTGCACGCCGAACGGGCCTTTAAATAGTCGAGTCTTGGTGATCAATCAAGTGATTGTTATTATTTACGCCGTCGGGGGGCGAGGACGCGTAGGTCATTACGGTATACATATTTTTTCTCTTAATTATCTTTTAAATTTCCACAGGAACACTAATGTCAAGATTGTAAATGAATTAAAACCTTCATCCTCACGGAGTTTAAGCTTCGTAGCTGCACACAGACCAAAGAGTAAGAGAGTGAGTTGGGTTTAAAGCCGTTTTTTAACATATGTTCAGTAATGTCCCGCAACGGCTATGAGGGAGGGAAGCCGGAATCGATGCCGAAATATGGTGCTGACAAACCAAGATTTTACCCTCAGGGCGAATCCAAAGACAAGCAAAGTCTCCAGTGTGCGAATTTAACCCACTGGTCAGACCATACACGTCACCTGTATTTCCCGAAGAGAAGTGACAAACACCAAGGGTCGTTTGAGAGTTAACGATTTAATCCTAACCCCTGCGAGTACAATCATTCAGTGGACGTAGATTATTTGAAATAATTTAAATATTAAATGTCAATCAAATATACTGATTGAACGTATATTTATATAATATCCCAGGGATTTTATAAATATAACTTTCGTTTATATTGTAACATATTAATGTTTCTATTTATATTCCCAATGATCGAAAATGCAGCCTTCGTATCTGTAGCCCTGTTAGTGTACCAATAGGCTAGAGGCGAGCTGATCAATCGAAATGCTTTCAAGAATGTCTATTTCAAGTACCGTCCGCCAGCAACAACTATTTTACGCCCGTTTCCTAAGGTGAAAGTATGTTTGAAACAAAATGTGGATAAATATTGTTTAAAGTTTCTTTTTTCGGTTTATAAGTTAGATAAAACATATACTCTCACGTTTTATGAGATTTTAAACCCTCATTCTTGGTTTTATCACTCGGGTTCACAATGTCATAAAAAACTCATACATGTTTTATCCTACACATAAAACCAAGTATAGAATTCTTGCAAACGTTCATGTTTCAACATAAAGTGCATATTTTGTTTACTATTACGGTTGAACTAATGATATTTCTAGTTACAAAGATGACACAAGTAGCCAAGTCGACGTGGAGAGTTGCGTCCCTTAGATACCAGAATCCGATGGTCGTGCGTTCCTATCCAATATTTGCCCTAGTTATCATTCTTTCCAAATCCAGATTCGCCCTGAGTATAATTTTTCCACGTTTGTCGCCCCAATGTCGGTGCTCGTGGTTTTAACCATAGTGGTAAACAAGAAATTGCATCACGTCGGACTTCGGCTCCTATATTTACGCTGAGATGACGTGAAGTAAATTAAATACTGTTCGAAGCGGCGATAAACTTAGCTCATTTACTCACTGACTCTGGGCGCAAATTAAAAAGTGGACCTACACGTGGATGGTTTGCAGCTTAGAGAGGGCACGATCCAACCGCCTTGCTTGTCGCACACACCGAATACCGAGCCTTTGTTTACGTTTTCGTAGTCTGACAGACATGTGTACCGGTATCGGACGACCCCATCTTCCGGTGTTGGGTGTTGATCAACATGGGTGTTTGAGACCTGTGGTGGATTGCGACAGTTTGGGTCTGAAAACGGAATAGAAACAGCAACGCAATGGAGTACTGATATTCGTTTCTCGGTCACAAGAACTAACTTCAACAAATATTTGAACAATACATGTTAAGCTCGCCACAAAGAAACCGATCATATCTGTTGCCATTCATTCTTAATACCCCCATTCCACTAAGCGGCGTTCAGTGGCGCTCTTACATATCGCCATAGATCGCCATATAGAGCCCTAAGATCTCCAAAAGCGTTAATGGATCTCTAACTGATCTCCATGACCGTCAAGTTCGCCCCCTGTCGACTTCCCTGCACAAAGATGCGTGGCTCTCTGCCAAGAAAACCGTCAGATCGCTACTTGATCAATCTCGTTAAAATCAGATCTTAGTTCTCGCTACCGCTACACAAAGATCTGAGGACATCCCATTACGGGTCACGTCAGACCGACCTTGCGCGAACTTTGACCGACCAATGGAATAACCAATCAGAAGGCAGCTTTCTCGTGCTTTACGGCACTATTTTCAAATTCGACAACGCTTCGAAACATATTTTGACAAATTCTCGATTAAAATTTTGAAACCTGAACAAAAGAGCATTCTGGAATCGCTAATAGATGGTCTAGATTGTATGGATTCAGTCGTTAAATCCGTAACTATCGATCGGAATACCCCGTGTTAAAGTTTCCTAGGGTCTTCAAGTCGCTATCGGATCGCATAGAACGTTATTGGACCGCAACAGGACGCTCTCTGATCGTAATCAGATCGTAAGTGCCCCCAGATAGCCGAAAAATGAGGAGATCTATGGCGTCGCCTTGTGGAATGGGGGTATATAACATTCAAAACTAAATTCTTCCTGGATAGGGGGCACACGTGGCGCAGTCGTCTAATTAACTTCAATTCGCTGTGCAGAGGTGCCTCCCTTGGGTACGCCAGAAACCTATGATTGTGGGTTCGTATCCCGTTCGCCCCGATATACACGTTCTCGTGGGTTTCATCGAAGCGGTAAACCTCTGAGACCCCTGAATAGCTGACAAGCCGCGAAATAACTGTAATACTGTTAAAAGCGGCGTTAAATCCAACTGACTTTTATTTCCTGGATAGCTCTATTATGGCCGTCTGATTGACGAACATGATCATAAACTCGTTTGGAGACATGTTTTCAACAAACATTTTTAGTTATCTTATCTATGAGTAATTTCCATTCGTTTATTTTATTTTAAGACATAAGACATTCCGCTGCTACACGATAAGCCCTATATACGAAAGAAACGTTTAAATACTTACGTATACTTAGGAACTGACATGAACTGGCAGAGTTGCTGTCTGGAAGGTAGCTTGGATTGTCAGCTTGGACGTAGATATGGCACAGTCCTCCCTTCTCTATCTTCGTAATGGTGCACGACATTGGATTTGCACAGATGTCCTGGACTGGGGTTTCATGGCAGTACATCGCCACTACGCAAGACTCATCCGTCCTACAACTTTCCTTGCATTTTTCTTTGCTCATCCTCTCCCCGTCACTGTAAGCAAGCTGAATGCCTCCCATCCCAAAGGTGTTGCTAAGTACATCTTGTTCGGGTATGGCGCTGTAAGGATCAGGGCTGTTGGATGGCAGTCTATTGGAGGACTGCATCGCAACAGAGCCCTGGCTTGAGAGTGTGTTCAATGTACCTATGGCACTACTCTTGGGTTTCTGTAATAGGATTCCTAGGCGTATACCCGAAGGTTCCAACTGCTGGCTTTCTGGCACAGATGCCATGACAAGCAGACACACGAGAAGAACGAGACGCATTGGAAATGGCTTTCAACAGTGTACGTGCGATGAGTGTACACTCAAGATATGGTAAACCAAAACGAATGATGTTATGGCTCGAGGCGAACATGTATTGCCAATAAATACGTTACATGTTATCTGATTGACCTGCATATCCAGGTGGCATCGCGGCCACTTAGCAACAGTAAACTAACTCATTATCTACACCTCCATAGGGCGCTCATGCTTGGCTTGTTCTATATAGCTTGAGCTTTTTTTGCTATTTGCATTTTTATCTGATTGAAGGCGACGTCAAACCCCATATTTTACTGGCAGAGTTGCTGTCTGGAAGGTAGCTTGGATTGTCAGCTTGGGCGTAGATATGGCACAGTCCTCCCTTCTCTATCTTCGTAATGGTGCACGACATGGGATTTGCACAGATGTCCTGGACTGGGGTTTCATGGCAGTACATCGCCACTACGCAAGACTCATCCGTCCTACAGCTTTCCTTGCATTTTTCTTTGCTCATCCTCCATAGGGCGCTCATGCTTGGCTGGTTCTATATAGCTTGAGCTTTTTGCTATTTGCATTTTTATCTGATTGAAGGCGACGTCAAACCCCATATTTCACCTTCAATACCCGAGGTAAACCAGGCCTCGAGATGTCTCATACGTTTTCTCACTTGCTTGTAAAACTTCTCGTTGTTTTCTACCTTACTATCAAGATCCTTATCATTATTAAAACATTATACAAAAGATATGAATAGTCCGCCCACAGGGATAGAACGGAAGTATAGGTCTTCAGCAACCCTTGCTTGCCGTAAAAGGCGAATATGCTTGTCGTAAGAGGCGACTAACGGGAACGGGTGGTCAGGCTCGCTGACTTGGTTGATGCATGTCATCGTATCCCAATTGCGTGGATCGATGCTCATGATGTCAATCACTGGATTGTCTGGTCCAGACTAGATTATTTACAGACCGCCGCCATACAGCTGAAATATTGCTGAGTGCGGCGTTAAACAACAAAACAACGAACAAACAAAACTTCCGGTAGGTCTTGTCTTCTCTGTCATGTTCACGCTCTTCATGTAAACATCAAAATACATGTTTTCACCACTGGATCTTCACTATATAGTGCCTATCTTATGGCAGTATACAACTTTCACAGAGTTGAAAACCAGTATGATGGATATACAATATACAACTTCTTTATTACAATGACTGCAACGTTACGGTGTAGATACTAACACGTATCAAACAAGTGATGTACACAAAAGCTGATCAATTACCCCCCAAAAATACATAAACATACATAAACATAGGGACAGTCAAAGTAAATGACACCCCAAAATATAGTTTTAGAAACTGATATTCTTTCGGCATTGTTCAAGTTATATCTGTTTAATCTCCTAAATTTGACCCGAGGAATTGTTTTTGTTTTTAAACATATTTAATTGACATTAAAAGGTAAAATGGATCAGATAAAACGCTTTTTCAAAGATCATTTATACAATAGTGTACATATTAAAAGATTGGGGTAAATAAATACGAAGTGTCATAATTCCATGGGAATAGTAACATTGGTTATGACATTTGTCAGTCAATTTTTATAGTAAAGAAAACAAAGTATAATACCATGAAATTCTTTATCACTTAAAAACATTAAATCTATATGGTATTAACAAGTATTGACTACCAATTTCCTCTAATAATAAACTGTTACGTTTGGTATCCTCAAGCACCAATACTCAGTATGATCATTGGGCAAATGTAAAAATCACATACCTTGATGGATCCTGTCTGCAATAGATAAATAGAGGTTATCACGTAAGTGTGTTTGGGAATGGTAAATATCCTTTATTAGGAATAAACATATAACGTTTGTTCCCAATACAGGATATTTACCATCCCAAAATACACAAGCGTGATAGCCTCTTTATAATATAATGTCATTCTGTGCTCGAAAAACTTCTTCCTATCTCTCACAAACATAACGAAACATTGAAAGTTTTCCTGGCATGTGCTCATATATATCACGTCAGAAGATAAGTGATGTGTAAGCGGGACAATGACAATAGTCAATATGGTTCCAACTTAAACCTGTTTCTCATACAGTGGCGTAACTACATTTAGGCAAAACAACAATTGACTACACAAATTGTTTCTAATTGTCTTTTGCGGCATTACATCGGTAAGTCCGCTGGTGTAACTGCTCTTTATCAAAGAGCTCTAAACCTTGTCTAAGACGTCGCGTTTGTTGACAGTCTGCCTGTACTGTCATAACGTTACGAAGTGCAGTCAAATGTACACACAGCCACAAAATGAAACAAGGTAACAATTCGGACATATTTCGGCCAAATCCAACTGTTTAAATTGGGGTAAGGTTCCAAGCCGCAGAGGTCTACAAGCACAGATATGGAAACTGATCCGGCTAGGCTAGTGTTCTCGCTAGACTGTTTCGCAACTTATGTCTCCAGAGTTGCCAAAGCTTGTAAAATGCCTTAGCTACGTCACAGTTAGACACTGATTTTGAGTAAATTAGACTATTCTTTTGAAAATTGTAGCAATTATCCTTGGAGTTTCTTCAGATTCCCGATTGTTAATTATGACTCGATCGCCGAATGACAAGGGCGATTTTACGTGCTCTATGCCACGTAATATAGTCACGAGACAAGAGACGTGTGTCTTTCAGACAACTCACTTTAATGGGTACCGACTTACAGCGCATTGAAGCTCCTTCCCAGCGCGTGACACCCTCGTTACACTCTCAACAGTCATTTTTGTATTTGTCATCAGTTTACATATGATTTAATTTTTATTTGGCAATTATATCTGCCTGGAATGCAATGCGTTTCAATGTGCAAAGTCAAATGTACGTTTCTCCTTGGTAAAAGGACACGGGATGCCGAGCCGTCTAAGGTGTCATCCGTTGTACTGAGTGTTTTCCCTTGGGCGTACCAGGATACAATAATCGTTTGTACGATTTGCTTTCTCCAAAATGAAAATACTTTGAGTGACGTAAAATCTGCATGCAGTGATATAAGATGCCCCCCCCCCCCCCCCCCCCCCCCCGCAGATTTTATACCGGTACATCTGAAATAAAATCTCCCCCGGGCGGATATATTCCGCGTCCCCCTCAGTATAAAGTCTATAAAGTATACATTTTTTTAATATACCAGTTTGAGTCTACATGTGAGGTGAGGTGAGGTGAAATGGGGTTTAACGTCGTGTCCAAGATTATTCCACTTGGTTACCGCACCCTATAAGTGAGTTAGTGATGTTTTACGCCGTTTTTATCAATATTCCAGTTACATCACGTCGGGGGACACCAGAAATGGGATTCACACAAATTACCTATGTTGGGAATCATCTCCGTGTTCTTTGGCGTGACGAGCGAACTCTTTAGCCACTAATCCCAAGTAATGAGTGAGTGAGTATGGTTTTACGCCGCTTTTAGCAATATTCCAGCAATATCACGGCGGGGGACACATATTGTACCCATGTCGGGAATTGAACCCTGGTCTTCGACGTGACGAGCGGTTGCTTTAACTACTAAGCTACCCGATCGCCGCCCCCACCATTTGAAAGCTCACGTTACGGGTTATGTTCCAAGTAGCACCGTCAAGCCGACAGATAATAAGCCCAACGTTGGGAAAAAAGTGCGTTTATTGACTAAATCAATTGTACATGTATGTATAAAAATGTCAGATTTAAAGACTTAGAATGTGAAACAGTAACTAAGGTGTAACAATGCATCAAGGTAAAACCTGTCCCCGACTCGCCGCTGTTGCTATTTTTAGTGTGGGAAAGAAAACAAACGACGTTTTCAATCCATGAATTCAATGGTTATCGGTTAAGGACTTCAGCTATATTCCAGCATTACGATGACAGTGGACACCCGATGGGCTTCTCCTTTACGAAAAGGGAACAATAGAGGACCGGCAGTTAACAAAAGCACAAAGCTAACCATAACCATGTTTATAAACTAGAATAAAAAATATTTTTTTATAGTTGTTAAGTTAACAATAATGTACAGAAACATGTGCGAGGATTTTCTGTCGGCAAGTAACACTAGTTTACCAACCACCCCAGATAGAAGTAGTAGTAGTAGTTGGTAAGGTAGTAGTGGTAGTAGTAGTAGTGGTAGTGGTAGTGGTAGTGGTAGTGGTAGTAGTAGTAGTAGTAGTGTCCGAAGTCGTTGCGGAAGTGGTGTCTGAAGTTGTTGCGGAAGTGGTGTCTGAAGTTGTTGCGGAAGTGGTGTCTGAAGTTGTTGGGGAAGTGGTGTCTGTAGTAGTTGGGAAGGTAGTAGTGGTAGTAGTAGTAGTAGTGGTAGTGGTAGTAGTAGTAGTAGTAGTGTCCGAAGTCGTTGCGGAAGTGGTGTCTGAAGTTGTTGCGGAAGTGGTGTCTGAAGTTGTTGGGGAAGTGGTGTCTGAAGTCGTTGCGGAAGTGGTGTCTGAAGTCGTTACAGAAGTCGTGTCTGAGGTCGTTACGGAAGTAGTGTCTGAAGTCGTTGCGGAAGTCGTGTCTGAAGTCGTTACGGAAGTGGTGTCTGAGGTCGTTGCGGAAGTAGTGTCTGAAGTCGTTGCGGAAGTGGTGTCTGAAGTTGTTGCGGAAGTGGTGTCTGAAGTTGTTGCGGAAGTGGTGTCTGAAGTTGTTGGGGAAGTGGTGTCTGTAGTAGTTGGGAAGGTAGTAGTGGTAGTAGTAGTAGTAGTGGTAGTGGTAGTAGTAGTAGTAGTAGTAGTGTCCGAAGTCGTTGCGGAAGTGGTGTCTGAAGTTGTAGCGGAAGTGGTGTCCGAAGTTGTTGCGGAAGTAGTGTCCGAAGTCGTCGCGGAAGTAGTGTCCGAAGTTGTTGCGGAAGTGGTGTCTGAAGTCGTTGCGGAAGTAGTGTCTGAAGTCGTCACGGAAGTAGTGTCCGAAGTTGTTGCGGAAGTGGTGTCTGAAGTCGTTACGGAAGTGGTGTCTGAGGTCGTTGCGGAAGTAGTGTCTGATGTCGTTGCGGAAGTAGTGTCCGAAGTCGTCGCGGAAGTAGTGTCCGAAGTCGTTGCGGAAGTGGTGTCTGAAGTCGTTGCGGAAGTGGTGTCTGAAGTCGTTACGGAAGTAGTGTCTGAGGTTGTTGCAGACGTTGTTGCAGAAGT